TGGTCAATATGTCAACCATCCTGAAATAAAATTTAGAAAAATTTCTATTAAAAAGAAATCTAACAATCCTAAATTCTCAAAATATAATTCCTGAACATCAGTTTGAGTTTCGCAACCGCCACTCAACTGTCCAACAGTGTACATTACGTCGTAGAAATTACCTTCTCCTCCCTTGAGTTGAGGTAATACTGTTCCGGGGCGTTTCTTGGCAAAAGTCAGCTTCATAGAAAACAATAACTGAATATACAAGGCTAAGTTCTTTGAACTTAGAAATAGATACGCCGGTTTTCGTCGGAAAGAAAGATAGCAGCGTCAGTGGGCGGGGTCTTCGGAGAGGCTCTTGCGAGTCAAGCCCTCATAGAATCTGAGCAGGAGACGAAGGATCGTCCTCACCCGACTGAGGATTGGCCATACACGGTTGACACATGGGCACCTGCTTTTGTGCCAAAGCCCGCGCAAGTGCCCCTTATGCAGAGAAAGGTTGCTCGATGTGTCCCACATAATAGAGGCGTGTCATGCCTTGTCTCCATACCGAGAGCGTGTAGGCATGCCGCCGGACTTAAGAAAAGTTCTCGAACGCGGTAGCGAGTTTCAGAGTCTCCTGTTCCGCTTTTCAGGGGAAATTGTTTTTTTTTTATCGTATATAGTATGTCTTGTGTGTTGTGTGTCTATGTTTTGTCTGAGTGCATGTATTTATTAGCGTGAATTGCGAGGGGTGAGGGTGAAATATAACGTCATCATCACCCCTCGAATGATGAGAGCGTAAGAGTGTGTGTTCGGGGTCGATGGCGGAATATTTATAAAAGTACTCCATCGACCCCAATCTAGATTAGTTTGAGTATAGGGTCGGTGGAAGAATATCAAGTACTCCACCGACCAAACGGAATGAGTGTACTGTATGGATGTATTTATGTGTATTACTTGTATGAATGTATTTATTTGTATAAATGTAGTGTTTGAAAGGGTAAATAGAATATAAACTTAGTTGGGGGCTGAAATGACCTAGATGTCGGAAGCCCCAGTCAAAAATAAATAAATAAATAAAACAAAAATAACTGAATATAGAAGAAATTAGTTTCAAACCTTTTCTCGTCGGATAAAAGGATGGCTACTAAGTTATGGCAGGGATATAAGAAGGGAGAAGCAGGCCAATCCACCATCTGACGTCTGACAGACTTGTATCGCACTTCTGTTTTCATCATACCGCAAATCTCAAGAAGAAATCACACAATTTCAAATATGTTTTTATAAGAATATATTTCGAGGTTCTTTGAGTAAGGCAGTGTTACATTCGCTTCTTTTTAATTGTCAAGTAGATCTCTTAAGTAGCGGGCATTAATGTGGCTGTTCATGTTCAACAGCATCCATGTGTTATTTCATACTTCATAGCTACCCAGTAATGGGTTTTTCCGAGTCGTTAAAGCCAATTCTTTCTCCTCAGAATATCCTATCCATACTAGTGTTCCAAGGGGAGTTTTTAGGCCCCCATGCTTTACCTGATGAACTGAACTGATAACCTCACTTTTCCAAGCAATACAACGATTCTCTCAAGTAATTCTGATCCTATTGTTTCCATTCAAACTTTCAGCAACACTTCACACAAAAAAATAAAATACAATCGCACTTTCCATAAGTGTTGATGATCATGATCGTACAGTTCTAGTCTTATTTCTGAAAATTGTTTACCATAGGTTGAAAATATTTCGCAGGAAATCATCGCGAAATACTATAATTACATAGATAAAACCGTAGACTAATATGAACAAAGTCTAACGAATATTAAATGTACACGATTTTAACTCGAAACGTGCCAACAAATATGTGCTAAGTAAAATTGTTAGTTAGAAATGAGTGATTATGGCTGAATGCCTGGAGTAATGGGCTTCAAGTAGACGTGATAATCGTGCCAGGTGTGTAAATAGGTTTTGACAAATGTGCACTATTTCGGAACTAATAGCACAATCATGCCTGCCATTGCCTGTCAAGCGTGCTATTTTGTAACCTCTTATTAGGCTTTGGTTAACTTCATTTTCAGGGGCTTCTGCCGTTTCGATGCCGATTGATTTTACCAAGTCTAAAAACTGATATTGCGCCAAGGTTTTTATTCACCATTAAATTGCACAAGTATGTGAAAGGACTTAAAATATGATAAGACCCGCATTATTAAAATGAAAACGCGTACGGTTATTAGTCAGGGCTACCTGGAGATTTTGGTTGTGATTTTTCTTTTGAAACTAAGATACCAAGTCAAAACCTTCAATAAATTTAAAATCAAACTCAGAAGCCGGAATAGCATCCCTCGTCAAATATTTATAAAGGGAGGCTACAGACTTGCAAATATTTTTTGACGGTACTAGGTCGGGCCATATTATGGCCGCCCGAGAATTCTTGCAAATTTGCCTTAGGAGCCTTAGGAGAAAAAATAGTATAAATTAAGATAAAAATTCATTTAACTAATAAAAAAGAAGTATTTATGGATATAAAAAAAGTTGTAGCTTAGAAGAGGGATCAGGGACACGGTCCCTGGTTAGTTAACTTCTGTGTGTTTTAACTAGTATAAGAAATATGTCGTGATTAGTAGTATATAAGAAAATACCATGCAGAATCGTATTAAATGAGATTATATACATACAATGTTGCAAAAAGGAATTATACTTTTCATGAAATAGGTTGAACTTTTCTTTCTTTTGTGTGGTGATTAGTGACCGTTAATCGATAATTATTCACAAAACCGTGAGATTCGGTCTGGTGTGATGTAGGTTTCAGAAAAACATTTTCTTTATCGTGCCAACGTTTCGATCTTTATTGAGCCCTAAAGATGATCTCAATAAAGATCGAAACTATTACAATTAATTAAGGTTTTTAGTCGAGATGAAAAAAAGTTAATGGCACGAGCGGGATTCGCACCTTCATCTCGACTAAAAACCTTAATTAATTGTAATGATTTAATTGGTCCAGCGGACGACGAAATTAGTGAATTTAAAAACCGAAACGTTGGCACGATAAAGAAAATGTTTTTCTGAAACCTACATCACACCAGACCGCATCTCACGATTTCTGAATCATTTTCTTTCTTTAGTTTCGGATTCGTTTCTTCGAACCTTTAAACCCCTTAAATACGAATTTTTATAGCAATAAAAAATTTGATATTTTCCAACCGGAGGGGTGGAATTTTGTTTTCCTGGTCACGTTCTCCACTTAAAAATCCATCAAACATCTGGATTTTATCCGAAGTCCATGCTATTACAACTGTTGGAAATTTTAATTTCTTTTCTTTCAGACTAGGTCAACAGAGTTTAGATTTGATATTATTATAAGTGAGAAAAAGAAGATAAAATCAACAAAGATTTCTTAAATTGCTCATTTTATATCTCCGGTTATAATTTATTTAGCAAAAAAAGTTTGTGCCATCACTTGTACTTATAGGGTTTTAACTCCTTATAAGTTTCTTTTAGATCGGTGATGTCGGTAGGAAATACATTTGAGGAAAAAAAATTTTCAATCTTCCTAAAAAGTTATATTCAGTAGTTTTCGGAGTGCAAAAATACCAATATCATTTTTGTGTTTTTCTAAACAAAATATATTTAACAATAATCTTTTACCAAGTGAACCGCCAGTGGCCATAGAAAGAAAGAAAATAAAAGGGGGTCAACGCAGGATAGATTTCAATTTCATCAAGGGAACAAGATACTTTTAAACAAACATCTCTTCTGTTTTACTTATTTTTTGTGTCTAAAAAATCAATCGTTATTTATTACGAACAGAATCTCCAAACTTATTGAAAACCTACCTTTCTGAACGCGTCAGCTCATTTAGCGGTTAAATATTTTATAAAATCATTGACGTTTGTCGGTATCTTAAAAGCACAATAATACATTTAACATGATACAAGGTTGCTTGAATAATATCTGAGTTTTTGCTAGGTTTGTTAAGCTCTTCTCTCTCTCTATATGCCATTTTTTTAGGTTTGGGGGTTGGTTGATTAAGAATTTTACTAATTCAATCCTTTTTTAAAAAGATAGTTCCTACTCACAGTAAGTTGTTTTGCAACGATCCGGATTTCAAGCCTTTTAGCTCATCATCAGGTTGAAGGACTTCTACAACCACGTCTCTCGACATGAATTGCCAAAGTGAACCCGCTGATACCTCCGCCAACGTGACGTTCCAATTAGCAGCTGATTTTTTTAAAGGCGCTCAATTTGAACGTGCGAAACGCGGAAATTATAACACAAATAAATATTATACTAGTTAATACTTAATATTATTAAATTACTATAAAAATAATAACAATTAAAATAAATTAGTTTAATTATTTGGATGTTTGATATTATTTATGTACATATTTAAAAGGGGAGGTAGATCAAAATCTGTTGTATTATTAATGCATTTATCACCATGTTTAATTGTACATTTTTTTATTTCAAATTGCTGAAACCAATCATTTCTATATTACTAATTCATTCCTCCACCGACCTATATAGATCTATTGTGAAACTCGTGAAGAGTATGTATCGATGTCTCTGGTTCCTCCTGATGGTAGGTTTCTGGCTGTGCTTTGCCCATCTTCTTTGGGTGGAAGTTAAGCCGGCCACTCCCTAGTATGAGGCCTATAATTTCTCTCAAATCCTGAAAGAGGGGAATTTCTCCACATTCCTTTTTGAGAGATTTACAAATCACTTAGATTGCACCATACCTAATTGTTTGTCCAGTGTTTGCGTTTTTCTTTCTCAAGCCATTTTTACACTTCCAACTTAAGGACAAATCCTGGTGTACCGGTTCTGATTCCATGCGAGAGAAGGCTGCCCCTGTTTGAAAGATAGGTCCTTCTTTCAAATAAAAATGTTTGTTCCCTATAATTGAAGTGTAAATTAACGAGATTGAAAAAGTTTATCAAAGCATGATAATGATTAAGCTTAATGGTTAATATAGCATAATTATGTTAAAACATACACAAACAGGACGATCGAAGTATAACGTGTGCATTTTTGTTTTGATTTCAGCTATCATGTACTACAGGCGGTTACTTCTTGTTGCCGTATCCGTCAGCCTGTTATCAACCCTTTATGGCCAAATTCCAAACTTTGGTAAGCAATTCGTAAAATAAATGTCACATAAGTATATATTCACTAATTTCGCGGTCCGCTTGACCAATTAATATATTATAATTAATTAAGGTTTTTAGTTGAGATAAAAAAGTCAATGGCACGACGGGATTCGAACCCACGATCTTCGGCTAGATACGCCGCTGCTCTACCCCTTGAGCTATCGTGACCTCGATCCACTCGGACACTAACTTCCCACCTCAACCCCACCTTTTGAATTTTCCCTCCTTTCGGGGTTCGAATCCCGCTCGTGCCATTGACTTTTTTTGTCTCAACTAAAAACCTTAATTAATTGTAATATATTAATTGGTCAAGCGGACCACGAAATTAGTGAATCTAAACAATGTTTATAAATCCCGGGCCCTGGTGATGACCTCAATAAAGATTGGAACGTTGAAGAAAATGTTTTTCTAAAACTTACGACACACCAGACCGCATCTCACGATCTCCATAATCCTATGACTTAAGCTAAGGAGTTTTTTTTTTTAAACACAGTTTCTTCAAATCAGAAAAGAAAAACATAGCAATTTCAAACAGAATGTACGATTGGAATGAATGTGTAATCAATTAACGCCATTTAAATGCAAAAAAACCATTTAACGTCTAGAATATAGCACAACAAAAAAATAACCCCCGATGAATAGGATTCACGCATCTAAAACAAATGTTCAAGCAATCGATCGGGCCATTTTTCACCTATCCTGGTCCCAATAAGACTTCACAGCCTTTTACCCCAACTTAATTCAACCTGCCTAAAAATGTTTACTTTTCCCCTAAACATTATTCTAAATTGTCCCTTTATGCCTTTTCTTTAATAAAGTGTATCTTATCTTGATGGATGGACAACGGAAATCTGGCATTATGGCATTTACATTTGTCATAAACTGCTAAAATTTTGTATAAATTTGAAGTGATTTGTTTATTTTTTGCTGAACGTTGCATTTGTTTATTGCATGTAATTATAATTCTTTTTTCTTATCTTTCTTTGTGTGACTTGGCATCAGTTATTTCGGTACTAATAAAAAATAATAAAATATTAGATACTTGTACGACCAAGGGACCAGTTAAGTTAGATTGGATCGAGAGGTTAATGTGAAATTTGTGGAACAGGGAACGAATCAGGTCGGTGACAAAAGGAATTTTGAAGTCGGTGTGAGCTTAGTAACGTAGTGAGAAGCTTAGATAATATGTCTGAGGGCTTTTCATTGGAAGTATAGGTTATTCTGGATGTTAGATGGCTTGGTATAACCCCACAGTCACACTCCGTATATCCAAAGTGGTCGCAGTAAAGCTTTATACAATATAAGTAATTAAGGTTTTCAGTTGAGATAAAAAAGTCAGTGGCACGAGCGGGATTCGAACCCACGATCTTCGGCTTGATACGCCGCTGCTCTACCACTTGGTTAATTGGTCAAGAGGACCACGAAACTAGTGAATTTAATAAGCTTTGTATAAGGTTAGTTTTGTATTAACTTATGAGGACAAAGCCATTGGACTTAATTCTGCAAACAGTTAAGAGATTAACTCAAGATGAACTATTAATGGAAATAAACAGTACATTTATTATTTATAATTACTCATTGTAAAATCACTAGATGGTCTGTTGATATAAAATGTATTAAACAAATAAAATAAAAATAGAGATAATGTGTAGTAATTAGTGATAGTTAATTAAAGATTGCTTAGAGGGCGTGAACTAGACCGCATTTCACGATCTCTAATAATCAATAGTAATAATATTGAAACGACTCTGCTGACGGAAAAAATTTAGATAAGTTAAAAACTACACGAAATGTGTGGTGATTAGTGACCGTTAATCGATAATTATTCAGAAATCGTGAGATGCGGTCTGGTGTGATGTAGGTTTCAGAAAAACATTTTCTTTATCGTGCCAACATTTCGATCTTTTATTGAGATCATCTTCAGGGCTCAAAGTGTTTGTCTTCTGTGTAATTGTGCCATTCTTGCGTGTCGTGTTGAGAGTGACACTCTTGCGTATCTTAGGTTAAGGGTGGTTTAAATTAATCAGAATTGATTTGTTTAGTTTAGAGAAAAGTTTTGTAACCTAATTTACAGGAAGTGTTTTTTTTCTTTTTTGTAACTTTTTGTATAACTATAACTAATCTCAATTGATACTGTTTATACGATACGGCATAATATTTTCTAATCCTAGGTAAAAACTATTCCCTAAAACTAAATCAACTTCTATTATAATAGCCTTGAAATACATGCACAATCAATAATGAAAACCAAATTTTCAAAAGGCTATGAAAATTAATTTTAAAAAATTCCTCGGCTTTCTAACATTTGTCGACATAATATCACCGAAAAACGTCCCAGTATATCGGTCTTTCCTAAGTCTCTAAAAAGTGGAAGTAAATAAATTATACATTTTAGAACTAGGACTTTCGTTCAAATACTACGAAATGGTTCATTTATATTGAAAGGATAAACAAGAGGATTCTTGTAACTTTTAATGTCAAATAATTAAAAGCCGAGTGAATCAATAAAGAGGACGTTGATTTAGTTAATGATCTTTTGTTCAAGACAAATGTATACTTTGTCAATTAAAAGTAGTTGAATAAATTAATTTCTAAATAATAACGCTTTACACGGTCTAGTTATTAATGTACTAAGTTAATTTGCCTTATTAATATTTAGAATAAATGGTTTTTTTAAATTTGGATTAGATACAGAAACAACTACTTATTAATTATTCTCTTCAGTTTTCAAATAAGATCATTTTTGAATAATAAATCTTTAATAATGTAAACTTTTTTAATATCAAAGGTCTCTATTTTTATATGTTGTACACACTAATTCCTGATCGTTGAATTTTATATATTTTATGCTTTATTGTAGAACAAGGCAACTTATAGTTTATTGATATCAATTTCGGTTAGTAGGAGGGAACTCCTGCAACCTCTCTTCAGTTCTTGTATTACAATATTAGAATATAAACTTCTCTTTTAAAAGATATTAAATATAATTATTCAAAATAAAAACAGCACGCTTCCCTCTATTACATTTAGGGTATTTTTGCAACCGTTGTACAGTTGATCGTGAAACAGAATTTCTAAGGTCAAGATAACCAATTTAGTATATTATCTTATTATCCTGGTTAAAAAGTTGATTTTCAATTTCCAATCATTTCTGGACTCCTCAAAATTTTTGAGGAAAAGCCCGTCAAACTTCTGAAATTGCGTTAAATTGGAATTAATATGGGCCTTGTAGTTTTTGTAAGTATAATTATTTTTTTAAATGAATAAATACAGTTAGTGGTGTTTTTCCGTCAAAAACTCTGAATAAAATTTTTGACGAAATAAACAACTAAATTTTTCACTGTCCAAAAGCCACCCATTTTTACTTTTTATTTCATTAAATTCACTAATTTCGTGGTCCGCTTGGCCAATTAATATATTACAATTCATTTAGGTTTTTAGTTGCGATAAAAAAGTCAATGGCACGAGCGGCTAGATACGCCGCTGCTCTACCACTTGAGCTATCGTGATCTCGATCCACTCGGACACCAACTTTCCATCTCAACCCCCTCTTTTTTTTTTTTAATTTTTTTTTTATTTTTTAATTTTTTTAATTTTTTTTTTTTTAAAGAAAATCCAAAAAAGTATTATTATTTCAACCCACACCACTAAGGTACAGAAAACTTAAGAAGGTTTAGAACTGCAATATTAACTACACGTATACATTCAACGCATACATTAAAATAAAATATACCAGAATCTGAGATACAACTTGAAACCTTTTTTTTCCTTCTAGGGTATTTCAATTACGAGGTTATATGAACTCCAGGGTGGTGGTGTTTTAGGGGAAAAAAATCTATTTGTAAGTTTGTCGAATGCAGGGTCGCTGGATTCGAACCCGGGACTTTACCTAGCAGTGAGGTGAGCGCCTTATCGACGCCACCGATGCCCCTGATCAGTTAAGTTTTAATCTTTTCACTTTTCCAGTGTTTTGGTGACTTTTCTGTCAAATCATCACATTTACATAATTTTTTATTAAAACTCACGAATTTCCGATCTCTGAATTTCATTTCGTTAACATTATAATAAGTTTCAATTAATTAAGGCGTATTAAAAAGTCAAGCAGACCACGAAAACTAGTGAATTATAATAAGTATTTTATAATTTATTTACATAACAATAAAAATACATATAATATGTAACAACCAACAAAAAACAGTGTCCGGGTTTTGTGTTTTTGAATGTAATATCCTTTAAATCAATACAGAACAACAACCAAATTTTAAAAAATGGTAAAATAACTTAATTATTTCTAGACTCCTAGAGCTCATTGGCAAGAACGATCGGAGTTTCTATATAATTAATTATTGATTATATTTTTTGCTGGAAGGTTGTCCTGTTTCTGCATAAACGATTTAAAAAATAGTTAATTGTTGGCATTGGATAAATAATGGTTGGTTAATGGTTAGTTAATTCGATTATTTACTCGATAAGAAGGCATAAGAAAGGAAATCCCAACTGAGAATAACCAAAAGATTGTCAATTTCTCATAGTGACCCTCACTAATGTTGGCATGTTTTAGATGATGAGAACGACTCGATCTTAAACAATACGATTTGGGATCTGCTAAGGCCACATAACAATCCTTACCTTCAAGAGCTGAGCGGCCACTGGTCCTTCAACGACACGGTCGATATAAGCAAATATGAAGAATTTGACCATACCAGGTTCGAAGGTAAGACGTTCGCATACGAATTGTAGAAAAAACCTGTAATTATTACCAATTATATATAGTATTTTCTTTGGTGATTGATCAGCTATTGAGTAATTATGTTTATGTAATATTAATTATATGTGGTGCGATTTTCATCTTAGATAACAGTTGTCTTTTAAAAACGTAATGCGTGGGTTTCCCTCATGTCCATTTTGATTATAATCATTTTCTTATCATCAATAAATCAAAAAACTTTCTAAAAAAGGTGTAATTTATCAGTGGGACCGTATCGCTTCCCCGGCTGAAGAATGTGCTCTATTCAACCCCTCCTAACATCAAAATATAAAAGATAGACCGAAACTTTCCTAGCTTCCTCGCATTATTTATAAGGGAGTACGTCTGTGATCCAGTCCGACAGGGAAAGAATTTAGAGAAAATTCTTCTCCACGGTGCAAGCCCTACGTTTAACCAAACCCCATTCCAGCAGTTTTCAACAACTCGAGTTTAATTAGCAACTATTTTACACTTGAAAAGAGACCTTTCTATTTAACTTTTGATCTTTTTGTCACTTTCGTTTATTCTGTTTCTCCATTCTCATTGTCAAACCCTCACCAAAAGTTTAAGTAGTTTTTCCTTTACGTAAATAATTAAAAGTATTGTTTTTAACGCCTCACACATTAAATTATACATTTCCAAAAGGCTTCTAATTAAAATAGTTTAAACTTTAAATAACAGGAAATCACCCTCACATCGGATGTAAATCCATTTTCCTCTTGTAAAAGGAAGGTTTTATGTTACTGGTTCTATTCGAGTTGGCGAGCGACAGAAGCATCTTTGTATTGTGAGTTTTCTGGAAGTGGGTTTTTACATCATTAAAAAATACTAATGTAATTTAACATAGGTAATAACAATAATAATTAAGAGATCATATGTCCTCCCAACTACATATCCTACTAAATGCCAAACAACAGTATTGGAGTATACAAGGGAAAATGAAAGCTTCCATGTCACATTTACTCTCCGAAGTATCATCTTACAATCTTCCACAACATTTATCATCGACTAGTGAGTTTAGGTCACCGTTGAAAATAGAATCAGTCAAGCTCTATAATGTCAATTTGCAAAGAAGAATGATAGATTAGTTGTATATTTCTGAGGTGATTTCCAATTTTCTGATTTTTCTACAACACACAGCCATGCTTCTAGCAAAGTTCTACATGTAAAACAATTAGTGCCATTCCAGCAAGTACACAGCAAACTTCACAAGACCAGTTTTTGTAGGACCTTTCTTTGTGCTTGCATGTCGTTCATACAGCAGTACAATCCGCTGACGCCGATTCTACAGATGCTTCGGAATGGCTCTTAACCCTTATATTGAATTCCCATGTTGGTTGCTTCCTTTTAATTCGAGTCCTCCGTGTGCATTAGTGGCCATAGTGTCAGAGTTGTGGCTAGGAAACAACATATACGCACACATTTGTAATATGTATGTGTGTGGTGATTAGTGACCGTTAATCGATATTTATTTAGAAATGGTGAGATGCGGTCTAGTGTGATGTAGGTTTCAGAAAAACATTTTCTTTATCGTGCCAACGTTTCGATCTTTATTGAGATCATCTCAGGGCCTGGGATTTACAAACATTGTTTACATATAACAGTTACATTTTGGATGTGGAAAAGTGAATTTATACAATCCAAAATATATTTTTTTTATATATTCAATAATATATAGAGTGCCAGTGAGATTTTGAGATTTTGTGCTTGTATACGTTGGATTTTGAAGGGGTGGGGAAGGATTTCTGTATAGAAAAGACATTTTTGTATGCTTCTTTGATGTGAAAAGTGCCGACGAAGGGAAAAAATGTGTTGGTAATGGTTCGGCCAGATTATCCTTTCAGGATTATATAGAAAGGGATAAATAGGAAAAGGAAAGCTAAATTGTTGGGAAATTAGACTATGTTAAAAATATTTGATGTGTGGAATGTAATGTGATGATATAGGTATGTTATCTGTATTGAATTTGATCAAAGATATTGGCGTAGCTGCGACTGAGTTTACATGTATCTGTTCTGTAATTGATGCTGTGTTTATCTATTTCTAAGAAATTACGTTTATGTTTGTTTTGTTCTGTGTGTAATACTTTTGGATTTTTGAAGTCGAAATTGTGTTGGTGTTCAAGATGGTGGGTAGCGAGTGCTGTAGGATTTTGCGTGAGTTTTTGCAATCATAGATATGTTGCTTTACTTGTCTCTTGTCCAGATATTGGGATGTAAGACCGATGTAAGTTGCCGGACAGTTTAAACAGTTGATCTTGTAGATTACGTCAGATTTTTTTTGTTATTGGTGTGGGATCTTTAATTTTGGAAAAAAGTGTTTGAATTGTTTTATAATCTTTGAAAGCTATTTTGAAGTTATCTGACGAGAGAAATATGTTTAATTTGTGTGATAGGCCTTGAATAAATGGTATGGAAATGTATGCTTGTTTGTTTGTATTTGATATACTTAATGTAGTATTATTAGTAATAGTGGAATGTGTTAGTGTTGTGTTGTAGTAGTTGATTATTCTGTTAATTATGTGTTTAGGGTAGAGATTGTTATGGAGGATCTGTTTGTATATCTTTATGTTTTTGTGGTAGAAGGATTCATGGCTTAAGGTAATCATTCTGTGAAGTAACCCTTTGGCCGTGTTTATTCTTGTATGAAGGGGATGGTGAGATGTAAAGTTGAGGTAGCGATCTGTGTTCCTTGGTTTTTGATACCAATCTGTGATTAATGTGCCATCTGGTTGTTTTATTACGAGTGTATCTAAAAATATATTGACAAGACAGTATTTCATCAAAAATACAGTTAGTTGTAAGTAAAAAAAAAGTAAGTATTTTAAATGGATCTAAACTGTTTTGTCAGAAGGGGAGTAAAAGTTGTTTTCTCTAGGAGCCTTGTATATAATTTATCTCCTATTTAAAAATAATAAAGTTTTTATGCTTTTCCTTCCCGTAGAAATGTTAAATTTACTCGGTGTAATACAACTAGGTAAGCTATTAAGGTAGCAGCTAGTCAGAGCCTAACCAGTCCAATACCTTTCTTGGGATCTTGCCAGAGGGGCACAACAATCGTATTTTGCCAAAGACCTTGTCCGTTTGATGTTTATACAGCGGGTAAACGGTAGACGGTTGTGCACTCTCCTTGTCCCGATTAAGCCCCAAGAAAGCTCAATTAAACTTGTTCTCTGACAGAACTAATGAATAACTTTAAGGAAAGTCAATTATAAAGAGTCCATTTACAAAGCGTTGTTCAATTTGCAAAAATAATTGCCTGCGTGAATAATGATACACGGTCCAAATTAGTTTTTAATGGAGTTATTTATAATTAAAGGATGTAAAGAGACCGATAGAATGTGTTTATCATTCCCTTTTGCTGGGAAGTGAAGAAAGTTCGAATTTAAAGCTTAGGAGTTTTACCCCTTAGTAAGTCCCTCGAGAGAGTAAATACGGGTTCATTAGCTAGCTCGAATACAAAAGTTAAAGAAGCTCTACAATTCCGAAGCTCTTCCAAATTATTTACATTTATCTTGAATTTCCTGGCTGATTAAATTTCGTAATTCCATAGAACCTATTTCCACTGAATTTAGCGCCACCGATCAAGCCCTGTAGTTACATTTTTTAGCGTGGAAACGTTTTTAAAATTTATTTCCACTGCTGTGCGTATCAGAAAATTTCTTGGAGACGTAATATACGATCCGAGTACACGAAGGTATACAATTACAATAGTTAATAAAAATATCTATGATTATCATTTGCAGGAGAATTAGAAACTGACCGGATCGGCTGATATCACATATTAATGTCCTAGATCTGACTGCTGTTGACATCTAATGACCAATCAGTCTTTCCTTTAATAACGGATAACGTTTATTCGCTCAGTTATATTTATTATTCCATATAGGTTTAACTCTGTTTGGGAAGAAAGAGCTAGGGTGAGCGGCTATAAGCACTTCGTTCAGTTTAATTGCCACCGCAGATGAATCGTTGATGTTCTGGCTACAACGGTCGCTATGTCATTGTTTAGGAAAAATGGCACATACAAAGCAAAACTGCTTAAAAATGAAATAATAACTGTCGAGCCAGCATGGAGAATGAGAGAAAGAAAGTTCTGCTCAAAAGGTAGATTGTACGTTTGTTCATTTTAATTAGATTACTTGTAATTATAAAATTGTTAACATTATTGATTAATTAGCTGGAATAGTGTAAAATGCGACTTTTGCCCTTTGTTGTTGAAATAGAAGGAGAAACCTCCTGACAAATACACTGCAGGCAGAAATATTTGCACAGTTGACTTATGTTGTATTTGCTGGTAACTGGTGGGAATTAATGAACTAATATTATGTGTTTATTTAGTTCATCATGTCAGTTTTAAAAAATACTCATAAAGGATTAAAAAAATGATATAAACTAAAACTACTTACAATTAGGATTAAAGTTGTGTTGTTAAAAGGATTTGCAACCTGAATAAAACTGAGTGTTTTTTTATTGTTATAATGTTTTATTTCTAATCATCTATTTTTAAAATTAAAAAAAAAACTTTCATGATGAAAACAAGCAGAAATATATTGGGCAAACTGTGTTGCTTTACTGGTTCGAAAACAAAATTCAAACCTTAAATTCAGGATATGTATAAAAAAAAAATCCAATTAAAAATGTTAGAGCCGTCCAAAATCATTAAGTTGCAGACCCAAAAGGAAAATTGTGAATACCTCACTTAAAAATCCAGCTGTGAAAGGTCTAAAAACTGATATGGTCCTTAGGTCTACAGCATTCTTTTCATTGTAAAATCAATAAAAAATGGCATCTATTTCACTAGAATGCATAGTATATCAGCTAGAAAGAAGTTTAAATGAATGAACAGAAAATTATGATTGGTATTTTGCGATGGACTATATTGTGAGATTTATTGTGGGGGATGTACACGATCCTGTAGTAGTGTAATTATTCTGTAATTAGTCAACCAAGTTAGGTGGAGTTATG